AACAATGTAGCTTTTGTTTTGCTGATTGGGTGTATAAGCTAAACTGTTACGGACAAGTGAGGAGAAATTCAGAGGCCGTGGGAGAAGACATGGTGAGTGAGCTAGTGCCTTGAGTGACACTTTGGGAAAAGAGACCCGAATTCATAAAGGGATACCGTATGACATGTTCATGGTGGAAAAATCACTGCCCTCATCACCTTAATTATTAATATACAATGAAATTGGGCCAAGTATACTAGAATGACAAATAAAAATCAAGGCTATCCATGAAAAGCCAGTTTTGCCTAAAATGAATATACAAATGTGTAATTATGTATATTTTTGTACATTTTTACATTTTAATAATTTAATTTTTATATTTTATATAATTATATAGGTCTATAGGCAATATTCACTGGATGCCTGCAAACCCTCAGTCCCATTACTTCATTTCCTTGTAATGGCTTCTGTAACTCATATTCCTTTGAACAAACTGGGAAATGCTGGGTTGAACGAAAAAATTTGGTAGCCAGAAAGTTGCTAAGAGTAAATCTTCATAGTTGTTGTTTTAAGAAAAAAAATTATAACTATATATGGTGATGGATATTAACTGGATTTCCTGTGGAGATAATATACACAAAGATCAAATTATTGTTATATACCTAAATGATACATTATGTCAATTATGTATCAATAAAAAAAGAAAAAAGAGGCATCATCATCTAGTTGGTAAGAAAGAGATAGAAGATGAGACTTGGACCATAATAATCCAACCCATCAGCTTTTCACTTCTGCCTCTTGTTCCAAACTATGTTTTTGCTTGTAATCTTCCCTCACATTCGCCTACCTCCACCTCACGCTTTTCTTAATTTAGATTTGCTTATGTGACCAATAGAATTATATGTATAATATTTTTTCCCCTAAGAACTTGGAGAGGACCCAGTCTAGGAGAACACTATGTAACGAAGAATTAAACCCAGACAGCAGACCTGTCAGAAAGCTGTGGGACACTGAAGGAGTTGATTTTTGGTTTGGATACACTGATTTTCTTGTTCCCTGTTCTCACAATACCCCACATCAGATTTCAAGATGAGCAACTTGATTCCAGGATAGGCATAGTGAAGGGATGTAATTAGCCTATTAAGTTCTGCTAATGTCTTGTAAAGTCATTCAAGCGAGAACAGCAGATATATCAGTTCCGCCTTGGACTCTGTCACAGGGAGCTCTGTATTTGCACACTCTATTTCTAGTTCCCACAGAAAGAATCAACTGATTCGGCAGGACATAGCCTTTTCTGTTTTATCACATCAAGATGCAGCGAAGAATTTCTACAGAATGTGTGTTCCTAGAATTGCGCTTTCCCACTCCCCAAATTCTATAGAACCCTCTGAAATGATAGGCTCAAATTGTGCAGACATCACTTCTTTATCACTCTTACTCTAATGTACATCACTCGCTTGCTAAAAACAATCAATTTTTAGTCAGCCAACAGTAAATACAGTGCATGTGGCAGAGACAGAGATAGAGGGTTTTTTGGGGGGGTGTGAGGGAGAGGATTGTTATTCTTTTGTTTTTGCGTTTTTCTTTCTTTAAAAGAAAAATAAATACATGACTTATTATTCCAGACGTTTAAGAAGCCAAGGAATCAGATTTACTAATTTTTATTACAGATATTTACTTCAGCACTTCCTTTGTTCTGGGTACTTTTATAAACCTGGGAGCTAGAGCATTGAACAATACAGAAGAGATTCCTTTCTCTGAGAATTTGGTATGTTAGATGTGCCAGTTTGGGAATTATATTTGATAGAAGGTCATGCTGGCCAGGGGGTAGGCTGGAGTAATGACAAAAGAATGACTAAGGAGATGGGAATAAGGAAACAGTTGAGTGGGATAAATCGAAACCTTATTAGAGGAAAGTCAGGGAAGTGAGAAGCTAAGGGATTAAGTGTAAATCCACACAGACGTTGTAATCACCAAGAATGATAAATAACAGTGAGCAGAAACTCACTAGCTACCTGCTAATGATGTGTAGGTTGTAAGACACCGCCATATATATTTTAACCACAGAATTTGTTGAGAGTGATGGTATACTTTTCCGACGCCTTTACATCCATAGATAAGCTTTTAAGAGGTTCATCTTTTAAAATCAGATATTTTTGGATTTGGACAATAACTGGATGTCATTTCCGAACATGGCTGTACATCAAAAGGGTCCTAGAAGAGTCTGTTTTTGGACAGACACCTGAGCCTGCTTACAGATAGTTTGATGGCTGTGGGACTGAGCTTGGTCACAGAATCCATTTTGGTCAAAACATATCCGGGTTTGGTAACCACCAAGTTAAAGCATATTATAGATGACCTTAAATGAAACTATATTATAGATTCCCTTAAGTGAAACATTTTGGCATAAGTTATTTCATATTTAGGATTATTTGAGAAGATTGAAAAGGAAGTGGTACTAAATTTCAGAACTAGAAAATCTCAGCTTGTTCTAGCAGAAATTTTTATTTAGCACACAGGTTTGTTTTCATTTTCTTTCCCTCAGTACATGAATAAACAACGTTATCATACCGCAATTTACCCTGTAGTGACTTAGAAGTTACTACATCACATTTTGGAAAAACTATAGACTTAGACTCTATGCCTATCGATTTTATTTTTATACTAAAAATCTTTTTCTTTTATAATTGTCTTAGATTTTCCTCATAATCTTTCTCTGAATCTAGTAGTAAACATGCCCCTTTACCACTTTAAACCTTTTGGCATGGTTTCTTGGAAACTTCCTTGTTCCTTCCATCCTCATTTGTCTTTATGTTTCCTAGGTCCTAGCTTGGTGACTTATCAAAGTAAATGTTTAATGAATAAATGCATATAAGATCGAAGTAAGAAGTATCACATGAAACTAACTGGTACCTCTCTGATATCTATATTATTCTTAAGCATCAAGGTAGTTTCTGGGGAAAGTGGTGGGTATAACAATATGTGGCTTTAATAAGTAAGAAAAATGATGCTCAGGGATTTACAGAAAGCTCATGAAGTATCTGACCCACAGCAATTCATTTTTCCCAGCGAGCCCTCATAAATTTCAGCCACCAAATCATTAAGCTGATCTTGCCACACCCGAGTGTCTTCTTTCTCAGCAGGGCTCCCCGGGGCCTCCTCCTCACTTGGCAGACACCGATGCTCACTAGATGCTGGTCTGAAAGAGAGCAAGAGCCTAACACCTGGTTTACCTCAAGCTTTAAACTGTAGATTTTCGGTGGTATCATAGCACTCTGGTAGATACTATTAGGATTAACCTTGAGTGCGCTAGAAATTCTGCTGGTATCATTTAGTCTTTTTTTTTTTTTTTTAACTTCCCACTGGGCAATGAGAGCCTGGGTGATGAAGTATGCCATTAATCTAGAAACCGTCCCTGACATCAAGGAGTTCACAATCCAGTTGGAGAAAAGATAAACATAAGTGTGATAAATGTTATTACGAAATAAGTATACCCTGGAGAACACACAGGAGAGCCACTGACTCAGAATTGGAGAATCAGGGAAGGCTCCCTGCAGGAAGTGGCATCTGAGATATGAGCTAAGTGATAAATTGGTATTGTCTGGGTGCACAGGTGAGAGGGCTCTGATTCCAACAAAGAAATAGCAGAAGGTGGAGGGAGGCAGGGGAGCATTCATGGGATTCCACGTCTTTCTATGTGGCTGGAACACAGGAGCCAGATGATGAAAGGGCCTTTATGAGTGAGTTTGGACTTGATAATTCTTGAAATAATGGGACTCATCAAAGGCTTGGGGTAGAATCTGAAATACTGAGAAACAAGACAGCCATAGAAACATGCAATTTGAAAACCCCTTACATTCGTATCTTTTCAGCAAATGGACCCTGCACCAGAGAAAAATTTGCCACAGCTTCAGATGATCACTTATGAATCCAGAATTAACTTTCGGAACCTAACAAACTAATTAAGATACTCAAAGCTCATGGGGCTTCCCATGCACCTGCATGTTGGGTGTGGCATGTGCCTAGTTCTACTTGTAGGTAAAGGGTTTGTTATTCATTAATATTTTCAAGGAAAGAGGACTCTGACAATCTCGGTCTGTCAAAGACGAAGGTCGTCTTATTCAAGGGACATAAAAGCCACTTGAGTAGCCTGAAAATGTGTTCCCAAAACCTATTTCAGAATTTCTTCACTAATGGGTTCTGCGAATTCAGGTTGACGGGCGTTCATGGTACATTGGGCGGGGAGGGGACAGTAAAATCCTGAGAGTGGAGGAGCAAGGGCTGTTGTAAATGGCCAGGCTGTCCTCTGCCTGAGGAGTGCCGCTTACAGTAACAGTTGTTTCAGGAGAATTTTGAAAACTCTCTAGGTCATTCCCCTAAGGGTTCATCATCGAACTACTCCCTTCGTTGGATTTCTCCTACGGATTTGAGGATCTTACCAAAAGCAGGGAAGACTCGTGCAAATCTTCTGATAAACTACCCCAGGAATAATATTTGTTAAGTAACTAGAGAATTATAGCGTCATCCTAAAAAATATTCTAATCTCTGCAAGTTTAAAATATGATCACATTATAGACCTTTTCTTTTTATTGTATAGAGTGGTTATGTTCACTCCGGAGTTACACAGATGAAAATAATTAGTTCTACTACCTCATGACAATTTAAATGCCCCATATGACCCTATGGAGTGATACTTACATGCTTAGACATCATATGCTATAGAAATAAGAGTTGGAGCTTTTGAATGAGAACTGTGTTCAGAACCTCATTCTTCCATTTATTAGCTCTAACCTTGGGCTAAGTTACCTAACCTCTTTAAGCCAGTTTTCTGATCTAGAAATTGGGTATGTTAATGGTAACTGTTGCACAGATTCACTGTGGGAACTGAATGAGATTAGGAGTGATGGGGGGGGCAGCTAGTGTATTATTTCAACCCTGTTTTAGCATTTTCCCTTTCCCCCTTCAGTTCTGTTTGTTTGTTTTATTATGAGCAACTTTCTCTTTTCTTTTTACTCCCCTAGGGATATGAAACCTGACAATATTTTGCTTGATGAACATGGTAAGTAGATGATTTGTTTGCAACCACCATGACTTGCACGTAGAACAAAATCGATTATCCCCTGCAAAGGAGTATGACACGTGGAAAAGGTGTCTTGCTTGTTTCAGTTGAGTTTTGTAAGTGGGAGGGACAATATGGGGGAACTCTAGTATTTATAGCAGTGGCGTAGTGCACCAATACATCCTTAAATAACATTGAATTTACATAATGAGAAAGCCATTCTCTTTTCAATTTTCTTCCACTCCTACTGATTTCAAGAAAATGGCCATAGTTTTCTGGTGCTGGTTTGCCTTAATATCTTTATAACAATCATCTCCCTTTTCTCATTAAGACAGAACAGGCCTCAAGCTTAGAGCATTTGGCAGGCAATAGCATCTCCCTAGAAATTGGTGACACTATTTTGTTTTCACTGCCTCTACTTTTATGCTTTCCTTCTTAGGAGGCACAAAAGGTTTTACACTTGCAGAGGAGATATCACATTTTCTGTTCAAAGATCTTTCAGTTTTAAAAAGCAGTCAGTTTAAAGAAAAACGTAAGGTAGATGATGGTATATGTGGTACCCAGCTGTGAACGTGATATAGGGATACAGCAAAAACCATGAAGGTGAAAAATGAATGTCTGAAATTCAAAAAACACTGATTAAAGATGTCTCATAGAACAAGCTTTTGCCAGCAATGATTAAATGTATCTAATCTCTTCCTAATATTTAATGTGCATTTGGATTTATTGGTGCATCGGAGTGGACCTGTAGGACACACAGCCTGCGAGTTATAAATGTTAGTGGCAATAAGATCCTTGTTTTTAGAAAGCTGCTAGATGAATCATAAATCTGCAAAGCTCCTTATTCATTTGACTTTAACAGAAGGGATTTGTAAGACGGACTGAAACTCCAAGTACCATCCATTGCTCATTATTTATTTACCCAGTCGCATTTTAAACCGATTTGCCAGCCCCCACCTGTGCTCCCAGGGCTAAGAAACACTTTTGCGTATGGCCTCTAATTTCAAAGCTCAGGGTCATAATTTATTTATAGACTGTCTAAAAAGATTTTTTCCACTTTCTTTCAACGCCTTATTTCTTCCTTCTCTTTACTGCTTCTGACATTTGGGAACGGATTCTCTGTATTTCAGAAATGTGAGCAATGGTGAGACTTAGCATGAAGGTGACTTTCACCAGCCACCTCTGCCTTAAATAGGAAGCAGGATCTTCTCTCTCTCCCTCTGTTGCAAATAAACTCTATAGATTTTCGCAGTTGTGAAGAGGGCCTCCCCAAACCTGCAGAGGCCCCCTTTGCACAATTTAGAAAAGGGTGCTCTATCTGCCCACTGCAGCCTTACAAAGGTACATGGCTGTCTGGCCAAGCAGAACCCAAGTTGAGGTTCTGTCCAACCTGCCCTGGTTTCTTTGTGTACAATATATTGCTCCTCCATTTCTTGAGGCCCTAAATGGAGATATATAGGTCTTAACAACCAAAACCTGTTCAAGATTTACTTTCCATTTCAGAGAACAGTGTTTTTAATCTTGGAACTCAGATGTGGTTTTATCTTATTTTAACCAGGAGTTCATCCTGTTCTCTCTCATTCAGCTTCTTTCTCCTCTTCATGGTCTTGTCAGCTTGGTGATGGTAGATTAGGAGAAAGGTTCAGAAAGAAATTAATCCTCTAGTTTAAGCACCCTTAGAAGCTACTAATCCTGTAGTTAAGGGCACGGATTCTGCAGCCAGATTGCTTGAGTTCAAAACCCTATTCTCTTACTAACTCTGAGAGTGTCAACAGGTTCCCTAAACTTTTCTGCACCTTAGTTTCTTCGGGCATGAAAGGAGTACTTACTTCTAGCGTCACTGTAAAGACTGACATACTATATATAAGTGCTTGATTGCAGTGTCTGCCACAAGGAAACCACTCAGTACAGCTAAATACCAATATGAGCCCATGAGGCAGTAGGGGCTTCTCTCCTAGAGAAGCTTAGACGATTTCATCTTGTTTTATGGGGCTTTGTCTGTATCAGATAGAGGGAGGAGACGCCGGGTATGTACCTGTCTTGAACTAAAGAATTATTTTGATTCCAGAAGGAATACACCAAAGATTCTGAGTGTCTGTGTGTTAGGTCTTGTGTTTAAACAATTTTCTTGAACCCTAATTCTCAGGTAACTACAATGTCGATGCCCATTTTGCTTTCCTTCGTGTGTGCAGGGAGCTAAACCCGCTCTTCAGGGTGTTTTATTCTTGGTGGGGTTGGGGCTCAGGGGCTTAGAGACTGTGAGCAGTCACCCAATTCGGCCTGCAGGACAGTCCCAACTGTACCTCCTCTCTGTGTACGATTTACAGTGACCCCTTTCACTCTCGAGTTTTTGGGTTTGGACAATGAATTAAGATGGGGCTTTTCTGTATTATGCTCCCATCCTGAACTCAGCTTGAGAGTCACTGCAGTTAATAAGAGAAGCATTGCTTTGGGAAGGAATGGATATTTGAATGGGATAGAAGCAAACAAACAAGATTGAGAGCTATTCTCTAAACGTTGTCCTGAGATCTTCTGGTGAAAATAATTCTTTTTTGCGGGGGGCGGTGGGGAGGGGGAGAAAATAATATTTGAGGTTATTTACTTTTTTCTTATTCAGATTCTGAAAAACTAAGTCTTTTAGGCATTGTTCGGCAAGCATATTTAATCACTTTTCAATAAATCAATTCCTGGTAACCCATCATCCTGAGCTCATTGCCTAGAGCTGCTCTTGTGAGAATCTGCAGAACCACAAATCAGTGCCTGCCTTTTGGAGGATCTTCTGTTGTGATCTGCCATGTCTCATATTTGAAACCCTCATGTGCCCTCTCCATCCACATTTATAATATTTCACCCCTGAAGGGCCATCCTATGCGCCTCTTACATGGAGATTTTTGCAGCTATGAAGGATGAGTGCCTATTTCTGATTTGCCTCCTATGCCCGTCCCTCTAAGTCACCTGTGTATACACCACATTGCTTATATTTCCATTCAGCGCCCCACTGAACAGCAGGCAGAAACTTTGTTTTATTCTTACTGACTCATAATGGTTCATATTCGTCAGGAAAGTTTCATATTGAAAGGAGCTAAATCCTTTCAGAGAATGGAGAATCTGTCCATGGTATGAATGAAATTGCTTGTACATCAGAATTTGACTTTAAACATGTTTTTAATTTAGAGCATACATGCTGCCATTCTCCTCACATGTCTCACTCACTAGTTCAGAGCCCAAGAAGTCATTAGATCTTGGATGGCTCAAAATCAATTGTCCTGATATGTGTTTTCATATTCTACCAATGTAAGTACCCCGTCCAATTCTATCATTTCCAAAGTATCTAAAATTCTTGTGTTTTTCTTAAACTGTCCAGTAAATAAATGCTGTAACCAGAGGAACAATACTGTCTGCCTGGTATATCTGAGAAAATGACAATTATGACATCCTCTATAATTTAAGCTTCTTAATATCATCCCACGGGGTACAGAGAAAGGCAAAAACACAGTCCAGGGGTGTGAGGAAGAACCAAGCCTGCTACCTTAACAGTTCCTCCCTTGCAGAGTCCCAAAATGTGCCTAAACATCAAGTAGGCAGCATCTTTAAATACACACACACACACACACACACTGTACTCTCTGTGACACTGGAGTTTCTGATCATGACAAACAGCAACAATTGAACACTTACTTCCTGCCAAATGCTGAGCTATCTTCCACCGTCCACCGTCATTATTTCGTTTGTTCTTTCTAACAACCTCATGAGAAGATTATCATCATCCCAACTTCACAGAGAGAATATGTCACCTTCTTAAAGTAACATAGCCGAATATCTGACCCCAGAGAACAGGCTCTTAACCACAAAGTCTCTAGGCTCACTTATTTTGTATCAAACCTTTTTAACCACCAACCCAGTGCTTTGAGCATGACCCATGCAGAGAAAGTGAGAAAGGAAAAACTGAGCCCACCTATGTACTATGATAGGGTGAGTTATGGAAATCATCTGTTGGTACCACTCAGGCAGTAGAACCTCCACTTGCAGCTAGATGAGTGCTGCTTTTACTTCATTAAAATGTCATCACATAAACAAACACAAAAACACTTTTGGCACAAAACAAACCCTGGCAATAAAGGCAGTGAGATTTATCTTTAGTAGCAGACTGGATGCTATCAAAGAGTAGATAGTGACATTTGGCAGGAGGAGAGTGGCCTGTGGGATGAGGAAGAAGAATCAGATGACATCCCCTCCAATTACAGCCACCTCTCATCAAGACCACAGCAACATGCAAATGGACATGTCCACACGCAAGACCCTCTGAGTGCACATGAGTTTCCCGCCAACAGCTAACACAACGAATTGTCTGCCTGAGCTTCTGGTGCTGCCCGCTTCCTCCTCCTTGCTGTAAGGGCAAGAGCCCTGATGAGCTTTGCAGGGCCTGCTCGCTATTGAACGGAAGTGTTAGACCCGCACTCCAATGCCATGAATGTTAGAGCTGAAGGAGATTCTAGAGATCATCTAGTCCACCCATTCTTTCTTTCTTTTTCTTTTTTCTTTTTTTTAATAAAAACAAACAGGTTCAAAACAAGAATGGGCCTGAAAGTCTACAATGTATTAGGGGCAGAGTTCAGGGCAGGACGCTGTCTCCCAGGCTAGAACTCTTTATACAACTTCCTTATAAATAAAACTTGATGTTTTCCCCCTGCTTTCCCTTGATGAGATATTGTGTTAGGGATCGATAAGGGACAACCTGAACTATCAGACAAAAACTGCTAATGATATTTCGGAAAAACAAGGAGGAGAAGAGGACTCTTAGCAAAGAAATAGAGTAAGTCCTCATTTAACATCGATGGTAGTTTCTTGAAAACCACAACTTTGAGCACGGCAACATATAATAAAACCAATTTTACTCTAGGCTAATGGATATAAACAAGAGTTAAATTCCTACAGCATATTTCCGGTCACAAAACATCACCACACTTCTAAATAATGACCCGATATATTTCTAATACAAAACATTGAAATAAATGTGAGCTATACATACATTTAAGAAAGATTAATAAAAATAAGTAAGAATGATTTCCTAACCCGTTTATTCCAGTTCAGGGGTGTGCTGGCTGGAGCCTGCCCCAGCAGCTCGGGGTGCAGGGTGGGACAGGGCACCCTTCCACCCTTCTGCCCCACGGCCACTCACACACACCCACGTTGACTGAGAGTGGGGCAACGCAGACACGCCAGTTCACCTCACGTGCACATCTTCGGGATGTGGGAGGAAACCCCTGCAGACATGGGGAGAGGTATAAAATCCACACCGACAGGGGACCCAGCTGGGAATCCATTTTTCTCATCAACATTATAACAAAACAACGTTGAATGAAACAACATTATTTGAGGACCTGCTGTGTCTGCATTCACATCTGCTTTGTAGCGACAGTGTTTGTCTCTTAGGAAAAAAAGATCCCATAAGAAACCCTTGGAAATTTGACATTTCAAATAACACTTGGCTGCTTCCCTCTCGATACGCACAGTTTATACCAACTTAAAAATGTTGCAGACAAAAATTGCTTCTTCGTCCCCAAAGTTAAAACTTTCTGAGGTTGAACTACAGATTTACAGAGACTCATCTTTGTATATCATGTTCTGGCTGCTGGAGGGTTCCTGATTGACCATACTGGTCTTCAAGACAGAATAATTGAGCTTTCACTGCCAGCAACCCAAATGCATAGAAAAATTTACAGACGAAGCTCCAGATGCTTTCAGCGGGAAGCATGATTGTGCCACTGGACTGAATGGACTTAACGCTCTCTGTGGTCCTTCTCTCCCACCAGGGCATGTGCACATCACAGACTTCAACATCGCTGCGATGCTGCCCAAGGAGAGGCGGATCACCACCATGGCTGGCACCAAGCCTTACATGGGTATGGGCTTTGGGAATGGCTGTCATGACTAAGAGCAAGGCTTTTGTTTTTCATTCCTGTAGATGCCATTGCTTAAGGGTCCACTCATCTGTAGGGACTTGCAGCAAAAAACGACAAGCCCCCCTCTGACTTTACCTGGGGAGCCTCTGATTTCATGGGTCTGAGGTGAGCCTCAGTTCTCCATTTAGCAAGCACCCCATCTGACCTTGACTCAAGGGGGAAACAGATTACATTTTGAAAACACTATTTGTTGAGTTATTTGGGACAGCTTCTACTCACTTCCTAACAAAGTACATTAAAACACATCGACTAATGGCCTATGTGTGCTTAGCACCAGGTGTGGGTGACTCTGTAGTGAACAAAACAGACAAGGTCTCCAGCCCATGGAGCTTACCCTCTAGTGAGATTAAAAAAAAAAAAAAAAAAGAGCCAAATAGAAAAGATGCAGTAATAAGTAGGATGGTAATTAGCAACACAGCATTATTATAACCATTATTGACATGATACTGCATTACATGCAGAGGACTATAAAGTTCACAAAGTACCTTCCAGTTATAATTTTAATGTTTATTTTATCACAACCATCCCATGAGTTCTCTTCTTTTTTAAAGATGAGGAACTGGGTTTTGCCTGAAAATTTAAAATTCACCCAGAGTGTAGTCAACTAGGTCTTATATTTCATTGTATTAACAAATTAATACAAATCCTACGTTCTGTTGTTAGAGGCAGCCATCTCTGTGCAGACATCATTCTGGCATAAATAGCCCTAGCCTCATGCACCCCCAGAAGTAAAAAGGGAGATCTGTTGCCCTTTGTGGGCATACACTATTCAGGAAGAGGGACTTCTTCCTTCCCTCTTCCTGCTACTCCTAAGATAGGTGAGTCAAATCTCAAGAGAAATATCTGTAAAGCCTGCACGTGAGTGGGAAATGAGATGCCTGGTGTCATTTCTGCTTGATGTCTGCTTAGGCACTGGTCCCTGAGTTAACAGAGCTGAGCTGGCCATTGTGTGTTAATGAGTTTGGAGTCAAGTCTTGCCGGGAACTACTCCAATAGGAGACAGAGATAGGCGGTGGTATGTGGGCGAGCGGGTGGGAGGAGGATTAGCCAGAGGATGTGGTCCAGCGCCAGTGCTCAGGGGATACAGCCTGGTAGAGAAGGAGTCTCCTGTCACCATGGCTTATTGGAGACACCACTAGTCCCAACAGGGCCCAACTATGTGACAATCTCTCCAGAAGTGACACCGAAACACGGAGTGGTGTGAATGCTGTTTTAGTAATTCTGCTGAGCAGTCCGGGTTGAGAACCTCTGCAGCCGACCATGAGCCCTGTCAGCTCTTAGAAGCAACTAAGACGGATCGCCCCGTGGCAAGGCGGGCGGGGGGCAGGCGGGGCATTTGCATTAGGATCCCTGTGCCTCCACTACTCCTCTCTCCGTGTTCTAAAACGAGTGCTACTTTCTCGGAAAAGAGAGGAGGTGTGTGAGAACCAGACTGTCGTCCATCCCCACACCAATGCGGCGGAATCCAGGCTAGCGACGTTGAGGAGCTTTGAATCAGATATGATATTAGTTTTAAAGTTCACAGAACTGAATTTTAGAGTATCTAAACTAAATGTTTTAATAAGCGAAAGGCTGTAAAATTTATTAGGCAACAGAATGAGCTATCATCAAGTGAGCCCATAGTCAGCAAACAAGGACGGCTAGACACTTACTGCACAGTTGTCAGCGGAGGAGAGAATTAAAATGACATGCTTCCACTCGACTTCGTTATGATGCTTAAAGCAGAAGATGTTGCTGGTTAAACTGGTGGGATTAAGTTGGGAGTGGAATGAATTGCACTGGCTAGATATGGTTAGAGTCATTCACAGGCAAAATATCTAAACTTGAAATCAAGGGCAAGGGCAATATCATTTTCTTTTACTATTTCATTCTCTTCCCCGTGTAACTGAGGAGAGAAAAGAACCCCTACATGTGGGGCCACCTCACCTTCCAAGAGAAAGAAATCCTCCATGGCAAAAATGAGACTCAAACAACTGCGAATTTCCTAGCTTCCAGTTATTGGCCGGGGGAAACAAATCTTTGTCACTACTAAAATAATGGACGCGTATAATTCAGTCTATTTTCTGCCTAAGACCTACAGTCCTCAAATGATGAAAAGGACTATCCGCGCCTGCTGGTCTGATGAGCTAATTCCGCAGGTTTCCTGGGTTTCCATATTAAGGGCTATTTTCTGAAAGCCAAATCGGAAAATGTGCATCTGGGTTTTCTGGGCCTGGTTTCCATGGTGAGAGGAGTAAAGGGAGGCCACCTTTCTTTTCTCTCCCCAGTAATTTTAAATACAATATCCGTATAATTTAATTCACCTCTAAATTGGTATTTCTAGTCTTTTCACAATATCCAGAGCTTGAAAATTGGAATCTGGTCAAGTTTCTCTGTGCCTCTCCATCTTCACCCTTATAATTAACAATTACTAACACTTATTGAAAGCCTTTTGTGGACCAGACAATGTGTTAAATGTTTTACATTCATTTACTCATTTATTTGTTTCTCGACAACCCTGTAAAGCAGACTATAATTATCAGCATTTAACAATGAGGAGAATAAGAAGCTAAGTAATTTGCCTAAGATTACATGACTAGTAATTGAAAAAGCCAAGATTTAAATCAAGCTCTGACTTTAGAAAATCAAGCTTTTCCCTGAAAGAGAGATAGAGAATTTTTTTTAAATGTCATTTGTGGTTCTTAAATGATTATAAGCCAACTTAGGTAGGCCAAACCATTAGCAGTGTTTCTTGTTTCATTAAAAATTGAATATGTCTGTCATTGTTTATCTCTTTATCCAGAAGTCACCCCTGGCTTTGATTTTTGGCTGGGAATCTTTCTAAGAGATACCATGCATAAAAGGCTGCTTTCTCTTTTTAAAACTTATGTTCCCAATAATTTGTCAAAATCTACCTAACAGACATCCGCCAGCACTCATTTCATAGCTTTCCTGTGAGATACTAATTAGCAATTAACCAGAAAGAAAAAAAAAATCTAGAAAGAACACTAGGATGCAATACTGAGTGAAGTTTATAGGGATATACGACATCTATTAAAATGAGATGCTGAGCATATTATGAAGGAGTTTCTTGGCTCTGGAAATGCGACAAGTAGTCTGTCAGTTCTTACCCTCCTTCCATTCACAATCTACTTTCGTGCTCCCTCCCATCACTCCAACCCTTCTTTCTCCATACTCTGAGGTTTTTGTGAATGAACAGAAGCTAGATCACTTAGAGATTAACCAATGAAAACATTCTTCTCCAAATTAAAAAACAAATTCACTATAGAAAATGTGTAACATGCAGAAAGCAAAGGAAATATTCGATTAATCCCTCTACTTATAGGTATTTACGATTTCCTTGCAGAACATTTTATCTACACATGCAAACGCATAACATTTTTTTAAAAGTTGGGTCATACTGAATTTTTGTACCTTAAATTTATTTTTTAATGTAATCACAACAATAATGGGTATTGTATAGTGAGTATTTATTATATCCCAAGCACTTTGTTTTAAAATTTATTGTATTATTAAATTCTCAAAATAATTCTATGAAATAGGTTTTTAGTATTATCTGGATTTCATAGTTTTAAAAAATCAAGACTAGAGAGAAAGTGACATAATCATAATCATACAGCAAGTGACTGGTAGAGCACAAAGTTAAACCCAAGTCTAAAAACATATCTTGCCTAGAACACAGAGGGTGATGAAGATGTAATGGCTGACGATTACTGAGCTCATTCTATGTGCCAAAGGCTGTTATAAGTACATGTATTACGTCTTTTAAACTAAATACAATTCTATGGGGCAAGTACTATTGTTATTCCCACTGGAGATGTATAGACTGAGAAATTAAGCTCTGCCCAAGAGGAAGCTGTGGATACAGGCTTCAGGGTCTGATGTCAGAGCCCTAACTCTTAACACTCTGCTGAGCTACCTGTGTCCAATCCACAAACGTGCTTCAGCCAAAATTGAAACTGGCTTCTCCGACTCCAGACCCTGGGTCTTGACAACTAAAAGCACTTATTTTTTTCATGCCCATATGTATAACTATAGTTTTTAATTGTCACATGCTACAGAACAGAGGGCTGCATGAAAATTTATCTAACCCATTCTTATGGTTGAACATTAGGTTGTTTCTCATTTTGAAATATACATTTGTGATAAAAATCCTGGTAGCAGAAATATGTCCTGCAACTTAATTATTTCCTTGTGATAAATTCCCAAATAATTCCTTGTCAAAGGGTATATAAATACATTTCCCTTCTGAAGGCTCACACTGATTTCTACTCATTTGCTCTGGAAGCATCTGAGGCTATGCACTTCCTTGCATCCTCACCAGGACTGTATTATCATTACCTTAATCTTCGTGAAAAGGTAAGTGAAAATGGTATCTCATATGATATTAAAATTACATTTCTTTGACTTCTTTGTAAATTCTTGTTCGTGTTCTTTGCCCATTTTCTATTAGGGTGCTAATACTTTCATCCTATTCTGTTGTTTCTCAATGATTATGTAAAACATTCTTCTACTTCCAGTCAAGATGGCAGAGTAGGTAAACATTGTGCTCACCTCCTCCCATGACTGCATCAGTATTATAAATTATAGAATCACCACCCTTGAGAACCACCTGAAGTCTAGGTGGACAGAAGTCCCATAAGTAAAAATATAAAGAAGAAGTCACATGGAGGCTGGCAGGAGGGATGGATATGCGAACGGGGCTGTCTGCACATGTGGCAGTTAAGAAGCAGGAGGGGTGTTTCGGCTGCAGAGGTCCCCGCTAAAGAGCCAGGGGTCCCAGCCCCACGCTCAGTTCACCAACCCAAGGCACTAGTGCCTGGAAAAGGAGTCCCCACAACAGCTGGCTGTGAGAAACAGCAGGGAGTCAGTCTGGGTGAGATGGCCACCAGCCAGAAACCCAGGTGTCATCTTAAAGGGCCCGTGCAGACTCGCTCCCT